TGAATATTCAGGGAACAAATGGGATGGGGATGAGGTGCTAAATATAAGTTGCTTTAACTGTCTTTTAAACCTCTGTCTTTGTGTCTTAATAGGCAGATTCATTTTTTTTCAAAACTGTGTCTAAAAGTCCAGAAGAAAAGTAAAGAAACAGCAAATGGTAAATATTTATTTGTACACACACATAAATGCTGGCAATAGGCAGGAATTGACTTTTAAAAATCAGAATATTCAGTATTCTATAGTAACAGCAGAATGTTTCACAAGTATTGGTAAGTGCATTTTAGGCTTTCAATCTTTTTTTTTTTTTTGTGGCAACAGTTGACTTGCCCAGGGTCACACAGCTTCAAGTATCTGAGGCTGGATTTGAACTGAGATCCTCCTGACTCTAGAGCCAGTGCTCGATCCACTGTGCCACTTACCTGCCCCTGCTTTTAATCTTAATGAGGTAGGAAGAGCATTGCCTTAATTTTCTGCCTTCTCATTGCCTCATCAGAAATTATGAGAACTTGATTAGTGACCTTCTCTGCAGTTATTTCAGTGATCTCATGCATTTACCACAAGCAACTCTTGTCATTTGTGATCAGTTAGGGAGTGAACTACTCCCACAGGTATGATTGTGATAATCCATACATGCGTGTTCCACCGTTCTGTGGAAATCTAACTGATTCCTCAAGCCCTTGAACACTGATGTAGGGATAATGGAAAGGACTGAGGCAGCTACTTCTCTGAAGTTTTGGGGACCTGGAAAGTGGGAGGTTTGGAGACAGAATGCCACCCTCGGTCACTGAGCTAATCAATGTTCAGTGGAGAGTGAGTGGTGCTGAAGTGAGTGTAGGAACTTCTTGAACTCTTCCTGGAAGGAATTAAACACACATACACACACACTTGTGTGTGTGTGTGTGTGTGTGTGTGTGTGTGTGTGTGTGTGTGTATGTATGTTTGCAGCATCCAGGCCTTTGGCTGCATCCAGAAGACTGAGGCTATGAGCTACTCCAAACCACTCAGTTATCTTGGAAGTTGAAGGGATGAAAATGTGATGATATCTTATTCCTTCATCCCCACCTTACCAAGGCAGCCATATGGAGTTCCTATTCTGGTATCCTAGAAATTCCACTAGTACCTCTTGGTCTGCACCTGAGAAGGGCAGCCTATGCCAACATTGGCTGTTCTGTGTTTCTGGAACTTAAACATATGTGTTTATGGCTGGAGCAAGAGACTCCAAAGAGAATGCCTATCTGATCTAGAAGATATCCTAATGATATCTCTATCATTCTATAGGTGGAGACTTGCCCAGGGTCAGTATAAGAGTGATCCTTCTGAGTTCTGTTGAATCCTGGCCCAAGAAGGGGGAAGTGGCAGGCTCAGTCCAGAAGCTGTGATAAGGAAGGCATGTGTGTGTGTGTGTGTGTGTGTGTGTGTGTGTGTGTGTGTGTGTGTGTGTATGAGAGAGACAGAAAGAGAGAGAGCATGCACACTCATCTACCTGTGCCTCTATTATCTTTATATATCTTTACGTATCAGGGTATTGGAAGCAGTGTGTCTGTGTGGTGCTTTCTGAGCAGTTAGAATTGTAGAGAAGACTGACAATCAACTAAATGACCATCTTTTCTCTATACTACTACTTTACCACCCTGTGACATCCGCTGATCTAGTTCCCTCTTATTTAATTGTAAGATTCATCCAATGAATTGCTTATAATGCCTATATAATTGGCCACCTTTCAGCTATTCAGTAACCTCTGTTCAAAAGAAGTCTTAAACAGCAGTTTAATTATATTTTATATAAGTATAATGAGAATTTGTACTAAGAACTTATAGGAATATAATAACTATCTTTTCTGTGCAAGAAAAAAATCTGAGCCACAGAGCGGAGTATAACCATCTGAATTTTCTCCTACTGCTGCATGAGATGACACTGTCGTGGCTCCTGATGTAGGGTGAATAACAACAGAAAATTCTTATGCTTTTTGCAGACTTCCCAAATCTAGTCAGAAGGTGGGGAACCAGCCTGGGTGGGGGTGTGTGTGGTTGGTGTTTGTTGTTTAGGTCCTTTGGCTCTAAAGACTTCAGAAATCATAATTGTCACCCTCTGGACTCTTCACATTGTTTACTCATCAGCTTGACTGAATAGGAAGTTGGTCACCCTACAGTGATCACTATTGCTCATGCCAGGGTCCAGTTCATAACTGATCAGCAGTAAAGATAGAGAATGGAGTTATCTGCCTTCCCTCTCTAGCTCTGTGGAGAAGCTTGTGTGCCTGGTGGTAAGATGTCTCCTCCTTTGTGTCTTTCAGTCTCTGATCTTGGCCTCAGAAGTCTATACATCCAGTGACCTGTGTTCTATTCCATGGATTCCCTAGAATGACATTTTCTGGACTTGTGTACTTTTTGCTCCAGAGTCTTCTAAGAGGTAGAATCCCTCAGAGATTGAACTGATGTATATGTCTAAGGGTTTGTGTGTTCTGTGTGTGTTTATGTCCTTACATATGTAGCAGCATAAATATGCTATGTAGTCTACATATGTACAAATACTTGAGATTTCATTTACATAGGTGTCTATCAAATTCTGTGTATCTGCCCTCAATATTTTTTTTCAGTGGACTTTGATAATATGTGTTACCCCTTGTGTCTCAGTTTCTCTGTAGCTGGGGAGATAATTATAGGGCTGCTCAGAAGGTTGGAAAGAGATGCTGGCAAAGGACTGCCCAACATGGTGTGACCACATCAAAGAAGGTGCTGTGCTCTGTGAGCAAAGCAGAATTACAGCGGCTCAAAAAATGTGAGATGCATAAATTTAGAGACATCTTCACTCCAAATGTTCATACAGACTATTTGTGCCTGAACTAGGGTCGAGCATGCCAAACTTGTATTGGTCTGATCTACCACAGTCAGACACATTGTACCTCGACTCCAACGTGGTCATGTCATTTTGGTCCTCTTGGAGAACAAAGGACCACAGCCAACCGATCAACCAATATGCATCAGTAATGTAGTTTAGCAGGAGAGAACAATGGCTTTGCTCCTGGTGTTTTGTTCCAGCATCCCCACCACCACTCATTTGCAAAGAAGAGAAAAGGAGTTACTGGGTTAATACTGTTGATTATCCCCTCCTGGATACTCTGTCTTCTTTGACTTCCATGACACTGCTGTCTCTTCACTTTACTCCTCCCTTTATGACTGTGTCTTCTCAGTCTGCTTTGATGGGTTCCTCCTTTCCACTAAGTGTGAGTGTCCCTTGAGATTCTGTCCTTGACCATCTATCATTCTCTCTCTACACTCTTCCTCTTGGTGATCTTGATTTAATCAGGTCCCATGGGTTCAAGTATGATTTCTATAGAGATTACTCCAAATCTACATGTCCAGAGCTAATCTGCCTATTGGACATTTTCAAGTGGATAGCCTGTAGGAAGTGGTTTGTTGGAGCCAACTCATGTTGAACTTTGAGAGCTGATAGTTGAGCCTTTCAGTGCGAGCCTTGAAATCTTGGAAAGTAAAAAATGCTACAAATCAAGACTCAATTTATTGTTTTGTTGATTGTTGACTTTAGAGTGATGGAAGGAATGGTAATGATGCAGATTAAATTTAAGTATGTCATGCATGCATTTTCCCCCTGGTTATTAAACATTTAAATCCCTGTGGATTTCTCAAACTCAGTATGTCCAGAACAAAGCCTATTCTATTTTCCCCTAAACTGATCTCTTCTTCAAACTCCATTTATGATGATGGTAACCATCCTTCCTGTCACCCAGGCTAGAAAACTTGACTTGGAGTCAACCCCCACAAACTCTAACCTAATTTGTGCCCTCATAACCTTCTTCCTCAATTAATGGCAATAGTATCTATCTCTCTCTCACTCAGCAATTGAGGTTAAGTGACTTGCCCAGGGTCACATAGTTACTAAATGTCTGAGGCCAGAGTTGAACTCAAATCCTCCTGAGTCCAGGGCCTGTGCTCTATCTACTACACCACCTAGCTGCCCCAGGGCAGTAGTCTCTTAATTTGCCTACTGAATTCCAGTCTCTCCCTCTCTCAATCCGTTTTCTGCATAGCTGCCAAATGAATCTTCCCAAACACAGCTCTGAACATGTCCTCCCACTCATCTTACCCCCTCAAAATTCTTAAGATCTTCACAATTTGGTTCCTACCTCCATGTGCAATCTTATTTTATAATACACTGCTCAGTCAAATTGACTTGTCAGATGTTCACCACACATAACATGCCATTTGCTTCCGAGTCTTGGCACATGGTCCTCCATGCCTTGAACATATCTCCTTCCCACTTCTATCTCACAGATCCTTGAATTTCCTTGTTAGAATAACTCAGGTGACACTTTCTATACGCAAGATTTCCTGGTGGGCAGCTAAGTGGTACAGTGGATAGAGCACTGACCCTGGAGTCAGGAGGACCCGAGTTCAAATCCAGCCTCAGATACATAACACTTACTAGCTGTGTGACCCTGAGCAAGTCACTTAACCCCATTGCCTAGCCAAAAAAAAAACAAACAAAAAAAGATTTCCTTACCCCACCTCCCAATTAGTATTTTTAAAAAATTTTATATTTGTTTTTATTTACCTCTTCATTTACCTCTTGATCATCCTGGCAGAATGTTAGCTCCTTGAATAGCAAGGACTGTTCATTTTTTTTTTTTGTATCCCCAGTTTCCAGTGCAATATCTTACAAATACTAAGTGCTTAATAAATATTGAATTGAATTGTACCAAGCTGCTTTCTTGATATGGTATCTCATGTTGTGTGGCTCACTGAACTATTACCATTAAGAATGTATTATTTTTCATTCATATTTAGTTAATAAGACAATTTACTTTTGTCGATAAATAGTAAAACTCCTTTGAATATACTATCAGTAATATTCCATCTGGGTTATTTTATATCTTTTCAGGTATCCCAAGTATGGTAACTTGATATGGTAACCTGTGTTCAGCTAAAAAGGATGAACTTTTTTTTTTTTTTGGTGAAAGAGATGGCTCAAAAAAAAAAGAATGCGTTTTCACTCAGCAAGTTTTATTTTACATGTTGAAATGTTTTGGATGGATCCCCAAACAATTGCTGATGAAAAAAAGGGAGAAGGCTGAGAGGCAGAAAGCTGCAAGCATAATGGCCCAACAGTGAGGAAGGGGCATGGATGATGATGGCTCCCCTGCCACTTAACTAAAGGTTAACAGTTGTCTAAGGTCTAATACTTAACAATGATGAAACTGAAAAGTATGACCTTCTATCAAGCTCCTAATTAACTTTTCTTATTTCTCTTCGCTCTAACATGAATTTGAGACATTGTCTTAAAAATCCTTTCATATTAATCATTAATCTGTTCAGCTGCAGGCTTCCATTGGTCAACTTGGTGATTGAATTATTGAAAGCTTTTACTGATGTCCTGCTACCCCTTAGAGATACAATAAGAATGCTGGTAAATGGACCAAAAAGAAGCTTCCAGATGGGTATGATTGGTCTCACATTTTCAGAACGGTGCGAATGCTGAAATGAGAAATGAGAGGTATTAGTTAATTCACAATTCAGGTGATCTGTTCTGTGACCAACTAGGCTTCTATGTAGCTAAATACCAACTTGGTCTGCACAGCTTTCCTAATCCCACCCTGTATCATTCATGGACAAACTAAGCCCAGGGCAGGATGGGGGGGGCGGTCAAAATCACACCTCTGTTCCATTTTTTTCTGTCTTGCTATTCTCAGTCTCTCTGCCATCAACTCAGATTTAATTTAATTCCTCTTTTTGTCCATGCCTATAATCACCATTGCAAACTGTTTATTAAGAGCCTGAGTACATGACATTTTACTAGGCATGAGGGTCAGAGAGTAATATATGTAGTAACAAGATGACAGGGAGCTTATGGTAGAAGCCATGTTATTGTATACCAAAAATTCCTTCATAGACATTCCTGAGTAAATGTAGGAGATAGAAAAGAAAATTGGTTTATTTTAATCCCAAAAGCCTGTTGGGAAGGGGATGCATTGAGTATTTAATTTCAAACTGACACTTTATACCCTTTTGCTTCCCAATATCCTCCATTGTGAATATCAGTGGATACTTTTAGAATAAGCAATTACTGTGTCTCAAAAAATAAAAGTTACTCATTTTTCAAATTCCCATCTGATATATTAAGTTATATTTGATTATATTAAGCACCACTATGGAATATACAATATTGTACTCTGGGAGTTTTCCTAAATGATATTTTATGTAGAAACCCTTAGTGTAGTGGAATTTGTTTTGTTCTTTTCTTCCAAAGAGTAATATCAGAGAGTAAATCACTGCCCCGAAAAACAGGACAAATTAGTTGGTAGGGAGGGGGCTGGGGAGGATCAGTAAGGAAGGCAAATTTTTATTTTTCCTAGACTTTATTTACCTATACTGTGGGCATCACTACATATCCATACAATACTGGGTGAAAAAATACTTATCTGTAATATAAGATAAAGGGCATATTTGTTCACATTTACCTACTTAAAAATCATATTATTTAAAATCATCTTATTTGTGAATTCAATATCCTATATCAGAATTCATTAATTTTATTAACTAATAGTGCTAAAGTGACCCAAAATCTGAAAATTATAGTATCCCTGCCAAAAAGTAGCTCAAATTTCCAATATCCTCTAGAGAGAATTCATATTTAAAACCAAAGCTGAAGCAAGATAATCCCAGAATTGATGACTTGGAATTTTCAAACTTATCACCTGATTACAATCCTAAATAGGCCCTTCAACAATTTCATCAAGATTTTGCTTCTTATGTCTAATAATTCCATCCTTTTTCCCTTCACCTGCTGCCTTGGACTTCTGACATATGACCTTCAGTAAAATGCCATGAAATTAATTTTTCCAGTTTTGGACTTTGGACAACCTATACATTACAAGTGCCAGGCTTCCCAATTCCCCCTTTCCCATGGGGTAAGAGGAAGATGGGTCTTCCTGACTTCAGGTCTGGACTCTATGCACCGCACCACCTAGTCCCAAACAGACCTGCTTACTTCTTAGCACACAGTAGGTGCTTAGTTAATGCTTATTGAATGGAATCGAATGGAACAAAGGTCACCAATGGTATTCACAAGATTAGTTGACCAGTTTCTATTGAGATCAAGGCTAAACTCTTTCATAGTTTCATGGAAAACTCAAACTAGTTTTATTACCTTTCTATGTCTTGCTACTCCTAAACCTACCTTTGTCTTTACTGTGACTTCCAGTTCCTCCATCCCTCAGTTTTATACCAGGATTTCACCTCTACTCTGACTTTACTCTTCTCCTTTCCCAAACTTGACCTCTTGGTGATCTAAGTCAGCTCTATACTATCCTATACTCTGTTTTCTCTCCCTTTCATTCCGTTGATGATCATATCTTGACAAACCATAATCCTGAATTACTTCTGCCATTTATCTCCTGTGGTCTTATTCACATGTTGCTGAATGGAACTGGAGGGAAACATGAAACCACGCTGACTAGATTCATCTTAAAATTATGTTAGCTAATCTCATTTGGGCCCCCCGTATAGCAAAACAATCCCAGCACTCATGTCTCATTGACTCCCTATCCTACACACAATCTTTCTCACTCTTCCCAAGTCTCTCATGCCACTTCCTCCCTATTCTCATCCTCTTTCTTCACCTCACTGGAAAAATTGAGACCACTCTGAGTTTTTCCTCTTCTTTCCTCTTTCTCATATTACTTACCTTTCCAATATTCTTCCACACTATATCATCCCTCTCATATACTCTGTGATACAGTGACATTGGCTTCTTGGCACAAGCCCACTCTGTCTCCCTCCCTTGGGCCATTTTTCAGTGGCTGTCCCCCATGCCCAGAAAGCTCTCCCTCCTCATGTCTATCTGCCAGCTGCCATGGATTTCTTCAAGTCCCAGCTAAAATCCTACCTTCTATAGGAAACTCTTCCTGATCCTTTCCCTGAATTTTAGAGCCTTCCCTTCTGTCGATTATCTCCAAAAGATCTTGCACATATTTGTTTGTACCTAGTTGCTGTTTGTTTGCACATAATTGTTGACATATTATCTCTCCTATTTAGCCCCAAGTTCCTTGAGAGGAGATGGTCATTTGCCTTTCTTTATATTCCTACCATTTGGTCTGGTGCCTGACACATAGTAGGTACTCAATCAGTGTTCATTAATTGGCTGACTGATTCATTGACACTAGTAGATGTCATCTCCCATTATCTCTTCCTTCACTCCAGTCTCGCATGATAAGGTGGCCCTTCTGAGTGCCAAGACCAACCCTCTATATATTCCCTTTATCTCCTTCCCATTTTCTCCAGAAACTTGCCTCTATCATCATACCAAATCTTTCTAATCTTCAATAACCCCCGCATTTACATAAAGCTGTGTAAAAATATGTCCAAATTTCTACTTAAAATTCGTTACTGTCTCACTAGTTCCTTCCATGCCTGCCAGCTACCACCCTCTATCTTACTTCTCCTTCTGTGGTAAGCTCCTTGAAAACACTCGTTCCAAGCAGTGCTTCCTTTCTTCTCTGTCTCTTCTAAACCTCTTCCAGTCTGCCTTCCAGCTTCACCATTCAGCTGAAATGGCTCTCTCCAAAGCTACCAAGAATCTATAAATTGCTAAATCTGGTAGCTTCTTTATGATCCCCATTTTTAGTCCTCTCCTCACCTCCACCATAGCATTTGACACCATTGACCACTTACTACTCCAAGATACTCTTTCCTTTCTGGGTTTTGGTGACTCTGCTTTCCCTTGGTTCTTTTCACCTGCTTGATTACTCCTCAGTCTCCTTTGCTAAATCTTCATCATGACGTGTCCCCTAACTAGGGTGTTTCCAAAGCTCAGTTCTGGGCCATCTTCTCTTTTCTTTCTATGCTAGGGATTCTTAACCTGAGGCTCTTGAACTAAAGTAAAGATTTTGTTAACTGTATTTGAATATGTCTTGCTTCCTTTGCAATCCTATGTATTTTATTCTATTCATTTAAAAAGCAGTATTATGAGAAGGGGTCCAGAAGCTTTACCAGACTGCCAGGACACAAAATAAGTTAAGAATTCTTCTTCCATACTCTCTCACTTGTTGATTTCATCAACTCACATGGGTCTGATTATGATTTCTATGCAACTTATCCCAAGACCTAGTTCTCTCCCCTGAAATCCAGTTCTCCATTACCAACTGCTTGTTGGATGCTTGAGCAAGATGTCCTTTAGGTCTGAAATTGAACATGTCCAAACGAGAACTCAACCTGTTTCCTTTCAAGTTGTTTCTTCTTCTAAACTTTCTTATGCTGTTTTTTTTTTTGAGGCAAATGGGGTTTAGTGATTTGCCCTGGGTCACAGAGCTAGTGAGCGTCAAAGCCTGGATTTGAACTCAGGTCCTCCTGATTTCAGGGCCAGTGCTCTATCCACTGCACCACCTAGCAGCCCCTAACTTTCTTTTAGTGTTGAGGGTACTGTCATCCTTCCCACCACTTAGGTTTATGAACTTTGTATCAGCCTTGATTTTTTCTTTCTCACTAACCGACATATCTAATGAGTAGCAGTTGTTATGTTTTCTTTTCTTTCTTTTTTTTTTTTGCTTTTTAGGCAATTGGGGTTAAGTGACTTGCCCAGGGTCGCACAGCTAGTAAGTATCAAGGGTTTGGTCTGAGGCCGGATTTGAACTCAGGTCCTCCTGACTTCAGGGTCGGTGCTCTATTCACTGCATCACCTAGCTGCCCCTATAATTTCTTTCTTTACAACATATCTTTCACATATCTGCTTTTCTGTATTCACATGGCCACCTCTCTAATTCAAGCCCTCATCATGTCCTCTGGACAATTGCAAAAGCCTTTGAACTGGTCTTTCTGCATGAAGTACCTCCCCACTCCAATCTGTCATCTACACAATGTGATTTTTCTTAAACTGTAGGTCTGACCATGCCATTCTCCTACTCAATAAACCTCTTCTTATTCTCTCTAGGTTCAAATATAAAGCTCTTCGTTTGTCATTTTAAATCTCTTCTTAACCTGGCTCCTTCATCTCTTTCTTGTCTTCAACTACTTTACACGTGGGTTTTGAGGTATGAGAGAAATGCTTATTAATAACCAATTATGGGGGAAATCTAAGCTCTTTCCCTGTACTATTTTCTTGTTTGAATCCCAGCCTTTGAAGGACTTTACTGAACTCTGCTAAACATTTACCCCACCTAGACTGTGTCATCTAGGTGAATTCCTGCCCGTTGTGTTCCACTCAGGTGTGTATGTGTGTCTGCGCGCGGGTACAAACGCTTTGACTAAATTGCGCAAGATTAGGGGCGATTTGGAAGTAAATGAAATGATCCAAGTCATATCCCGTAGCCCCCCTAGAACAGGTCTACCTCTCATTACGATACTCATTCTCTCTCATTACTTCCTAACATATCAGAATCAACTGCCACCCTCAGGAACACCGAATCATCCAAGGGCATGTACACATTGAGTGCGTTCCATGACAGGTCCTTGCCATTGAAGAGTGTCACTGACCCCTGTCATTAATAATATGGTAGCATTATTAATAAACTGATTAATATCCAGAAGTTATGTGTCTCAAACCTTTTATGTGTCACGGATAGACTTAAGAACAGAGTGTTCTTTGAACAGGGCAGTAATCTGCCATCTCCATGCCTTTCCACTGGCTATTCCAGATACCTGGGCTACTCTCCTGCCCAGTCTCCAACTTTAAAATCTCCGGCTTCATTCAAGACTCAGTTGAAGTCTCTCCTCTTCTAGGAAGGTTTTCCCGGTCATGTCAGCAGCTGGTGCCAGCCTCTCAGTGCCTGGCACATAGTAGGTGCTTAACAAATATTTACTGACTGGCTGATATCCCTTTACATGCTCTCCCACCATCTCTTTCTTCACTCTGATAACTGATCATGAGTTGGCCCTTTAAATATGTCGGATTTATATATGTTTTTTCCCCACTGAAATGTAAGCTCCTTGAAGGCAGGAATTGTCATTGGTTTTTCTTTGCATCTTTAGCACTCAGAACAATGCCTGTCACATAGTATGTGCCTAATAAATGCTCAGTGATTATTGATTCTACTGCATGGGATGACAGCTCTGGAGTTGCAAGGCAACTCAGGTGCTGTCTAGTCCAACCCCTTCATTGGACAGAAGAGGAAACTGAGGCCCAGGGAGTTAAAGACTCAAGGTCAGTAAAAGGTAGTAATAGGGTTGGGATTTGAACCCAGCACCCAACATGATCCTTACTCCAAAGTCAGCGGAGGTTCCCAAGCCTCCTTCTGCTGTACCACAATTTCATTTTACTTGTAATTTCTAAACAATTCATGATATTGAGTCCTCTTTTTCCTTTAAAGAACACTAACAGGCCCTGGCTACTGAAGGAGCTATGGTTGGGCTCTAACATAACAAAATAGGCTAAGGAAGGTTTTCTAGCTCTCACTTATTGCCTTTTGTAGGGACTAAAATGTCCTGTCACTTAAGTTAATTTTTGGAGCAGCTAGGTGTTCATTGGACAGAGCATGACGCCTGGAGTCAGAAAGACCTGAGTTCCAATCTATCCTCAGAAACTTACTAGTTGTGTGACCCTGGGTAAGTCACTTAACCCTGTTTACCTCAATTTTGTTATCAATCAGATGAGCCGGGGAAAGAAATGGCAAACCAGTCCAGTATCTTTGCCAAGAAAACCCCAAATGGGGTCACAAAGAGTCAGACAAGACTAAATCACTGCCGAATGTCAAAGTTAGTTTGGTGATGTCTGCCTGAATCCCTTAGCCACCTCTTTGCTGATGGGCTATCCTTGTGGAAATAAAAGCCAAATTATGAGGCTATTACTTACCAAATTTCTCAGCAGAAAAATGGAAGGACATCCAAATCTTACCTCTTGCCTGAGCGCAGCATGTCAAATCCTTCATTGATCTTATCAAAAGTAGAAACCTGTGTTATTAATGGATCCAGTGTAAATTTCTTGGCTATAACATCAGAGACCAGCGTGGGGATATCATCTTTGCTTTTAAAACCTGAAAGATGCAAGCAGAACACCATTATTTCATTCAGATAAGCAATGTGCATGAGGATGTAAAAGTGACAGCCTGTAAAACTAGTTTTTCATTTTCATTACATAACAAAGGTGAACGGATGCTTTAAAGCTCCCTCGAGGTGATAGAACATTGTTTTGGAGAGAAAATCAGTTTCTTGTGGGGTATTTACATGCTAAAAATTGGAGATGCAGAAAGCCAAGAAATGGATTATTAGATTAAAGCCATGAAGACAACTGTAGAGTGTTTTGGCCTGAATAGCTAACACAATGTCTACTTATGAGTGGTTTGCACACAGTAAGCATCCACCTCACAGAGTGTCTTAGAGAAGAAACTGAGGATCATAGGGCAGAGGTTTTGTTTTCCCGACTGCTGCCTATTAAAGGCAAGGGCTACACAGAGAAACTTTGATCTGGAAAGTGAATGTCTGCCTAATGAGAATATACATTTAGAACGGAATTTGGATTTTGAGTCTATAGACTACAACAGGGATAGGGAACCTATGGCCTCAAAGCTACATGTGGCCCTCTAGGTCCTCAAGTTTGGCTGTCTGACTGAATTCAGTTAGTAGCCGTGTGACCCTGGGTGAGTCACTTCACCCTGTTTACTTCAGTTTCCTCATCTGTCAAATGAGCTGGAGAAGGAAATGGCAAAGCACTTCAATATCTTTGCCAAATGGGATCACAAAGAGTCAGAGCAGACTGAAATGACTGATCAACAACATCAAAGTTGGTTTGGAGTGAAGTTTGGATTTAGTCAGAGGACTGCACTTGAGGACCTAGATGTCTACATGTGGCCTCCAGGCCACATGTCTGCAGCACATGTCACAGGTAAGTTTTTTTTCTCCTTTATTTTCCATAATATTCGTGGAGAAACTGACTTGTTCCAGTAGTTGACTTTTTCTGCCTCACTATTAATTTCATCCTTTAAAAGATGGACGGTGGTCATGCATGTTACTGAAGGTAACTGAAGGTAGGCTGAAGCTGGTGGGTCACTTGGGTTCAGTCAGGAGTTTTAAGCTACAGTATCTGCTAACCAGGTACTAGTCTGGTACCAATATGATGAGTACCCAGGAATGGAGGGCAACTAGATTGCCTAAGGAAGGGAGAACTGGCTCAGATCCTTAACCTAGAGCAGGTTTAAGCTTCCGTGCTGATGAGTATTGGGATCATACCCACGAGTGGCCACTGCATTTTCAGCCCGTGTGAGATAGAGAGGCCCAATCTCTGATAACCAAATGGGAGAACCTAAAGGGGAAAATCCTTTTCTGGATCTGAATCTCACTAATGTAGAGGAACTAGTCAGAATACACATGATGGCAACATTGTGAGGAAGTGTCCACTTCCTGGTATAATTTGTAGTAGAAAATGAGAAGAAAGTTGGGCATAGTTTGACATGCACCACAGATTTTTGGGAAACAGATTTCAAAGGGTTCATAGGAAAAATTGGCTGGATATTATGGACTAAAATTTACAGGGTAAGCCAGCCCTCTAGGGAAGGGAAACTCAACATTGAAATTCTGAAGACACAAAAGGAAAGAATTCCAATGAGGAGAAAAATAGTTTTCTAAAGAGACTGGTGTGGATGCACAGAACTGATTAAACTCATCAACCAGCTATGACTTTTAAATAAGAGGTACAACAAGTTTCCCTGATGAAGGCCTTATTTCTGAAATATATAGGGAATTGAGCCAAATTTATAAAAATAAGAGCTATTCCCCAACTGAGAGATGGTCAAAGGATATGAATAGGCAGTTTTCAGAAGAAATCAAAGCTATGAATAGTCACATGACAAAAATGCTCTTAATCACTATAGATTAGAGAAAGGCAAATTAAAGGAATGTACGCCTACCAGATTGGCTAACATGAGAGAAAAGGAAAATGATAAATGCTGGAGTGGATGTGGAAAAATTGGTACACTAATGCATTGTTGATAGAGTTGCAGACTGGTCCAACCATTCTAGAGAAGGATTTTGAACAATGTCTAAGGGCTATAAAATTGCATATACCTTTTGACCTAGTGATACCACTACTAGCTCTATATCCTAAAGAGTTTAAAGAAAAAAGGACCTATTTTTACAAAATTATTTATAACAACTCTTCTTGTGTTGGCAAAGAATTGAAACTGGAGGGGATGTCCATGAATTGGAGAATGGCTGAACAAGCTGTGGTTTATGATTTGTGATGGAATACTATTGTGCTATGAGAAATGACAGTCAGGATGGTTTCAGAAAAACCTGTGAAGTATTATATGAACTGATGCAAAGTGAAATGAGCATACCCAGGAGAACATTGTGCACAGTAACAATGATGTTGTAATGATCAACTGTAAAACACTTAGCTACTAAGATCAAGACAATGTTGTTTCCTTTCAAAAATGTGATTTTTTTTTTTTTGTTAGGGCAGGGACCATTTTCTTTTTCTTTGTAGCACTAGCATTTAATATGGTGCCTGGCACATAAGTGTTTTAAAAGTGTTATTCGCTGACTCATTAAGGAAGTTTGAAATGTAACCTGAGAACAGCAACTGGCACACAGTAGATGTTTAATAAATGTTTGTTGAATTGACTTGAACCTCAGTGAGTCTACATAATTATGTCCACATCTCAATCACTTTGAAATGATTGACCTAGCCAGAGGTAAAAAACAAAAGAAACAAGAAAAACCCCACAACCCTAATTGTTAGCAATATTTTCAAAACCATACTCTTAGTTGTAAAAAGTCACCTGCTTGGGTTTTTAACAGACATTCTCTTCTCATGAGAAACTACATACCTCCAAGAATAGCTCCTTTCCAGGTGCGTCCAGTCAAAAGCAGCATAGGATTGAAGGAAATGTTTTGGCCAGTAGGAGGGACACCCACCATGACACAAACTCCAAAAGCCTGATTGGTGGCTAGAAAGGCAGCTGTCTTGGATGAAACACACACATATATTTCATAAATAAGAGAAAAACAAAACGTATTCTATGATTGTCACTATTCATGGTACTGTAATAAAGAGCTACAAAACAATTACCCACCTAGTTTGTAACTTGCTTCATTATACACACACTAACCTCACAAAGAATCTCTCTGTGACAAGTCCTGCCTAATTCCTTTTCCTGAAATCAGCAGCTCCTAGAAAACTACCAAATATGGCTACCTACTCTGGGACAAAGAGACACACAGAGAAAATCCTTTGAAAAATGCTTGAGCTTTCACTCAGAAAGAAGGAAGAAGTAGCTTGGTATTCTTTTATTAATTAGTTGAGCAAATAGTTATTTCCAAACAGGGAGATGATCTTGCCCTCCATGGAACTAACTGCAATGTGTCACCAAGAAGTATAGTGGCCTGGAAGGAGCACAGAATTTGGAGTGAGGAGATCACTGGGTTCTTATGCCAGATCGAACTTTCACTAACTATTTGACCATGGGAAGGTCATCCAAATACTCTGAGATTCAGTGTCTTCACTTATAATATCAGGATATTAATAGTCTGTTATGTGATAGAGTTGTTGTAAAACTTAAAATGCTATATAAATTTCAGTATTTATTCTTATTATCATCATTATTTTTAGCCACATAATTTTGTGGGACATTTAACTG